GTTTTCCTTAAAGGAGTAGACACCTGATAAAGAGGACAGACTTGTGAAGTATTTCCAAACATACATTTCCCACTAGAATCTCTCTCTGGAGAAAGATGTGTCAGTGGACCTTAGGCATTTGGGGGTGTGAGGATGGATTAATGAATATGGTGAAGTCACCCCAAAGCAGTGTCCAACCTGTAGAACTGGAATTCACATTTTGTGTTGGAGCCTGCCAACTTACCAATTTGGAAGGAAGAGTTCCTATTTGATGGTCTCCTTCCTCCCCATGGGGGAAACAGTAGCATGTTGGATTATGGGAAGATCAGCAACATCATGAAATTCAAACTCATGTTGTGGTAAAGTCATGGCCAAGCTGGCATGGACCCAGTATGACTTGCCAGTCTACTGCCTTGTATTAAATGGAATTTTGCAATAAGGGAATCTACATGTTTTAACCGTCTGCAACCCAGCACCTTCCCATGGCATTCAGGACCGGCTCAAGGGGAAATCCATCCCACAGTTTAGGAGATCAATGGGATAATGGTGCTGAAAACAATGGAGCAGAGTTTAAGGTCGCCACTGGATGGGAAAGAGCTTGATTCAATGCTGGGAAAGATCTTTCCTGGTAGCCAGCAATATACCTGATGGGCTCTGGAGAAACCAACTTCCCCTGCCTCTTTCTTTGCAAGCACAGGCTGAATCAAAAAGGGCCCCAAAGGGAAGGATTCTCAAGATCCCAGAACAAAGGAAGTGTGGGTTTCACAGGGGAAGAATAATGACTTTTTAAAACCACAGTCTCTGTATCCCAAAAAGGCAGGAAATCCTGTGTTTGAATTCTGATTCTGTCTCTTGAGTAAATCATTTAACCTCAGGAGCCCCAGCGTCTTCGTTTGTAAACAACCCTTCCTCAATGATGCCACAGGATTTTCGGGACAATCCTCCCATGCTGGCTCACGCTCGTCTCTTGGTCTTCCTGTCCCACCGGCCTCCCCTTGTGCGCATTTGTACCCTCCACCTCTTCCCAGTAAAGTTATTCGCTTTTATTTTACCCAGGTTTATTTTTCTCATAGCAGTAGTCTGACATTTCATTGTGCTTTGAGCCTGTCTCCTGGACAAGAACGTGACTGCATGAGGGCAGGATCCTGGCGTGTGAAATCTGGGGCAGCTCCAGCCCCTGGTTTGTTTTGTTCACTGCTGCATCCCTGGTGCCCAGACCTGTGCCTAGCACATAGGAGCTCAAACAATTGCTGAATGAATGCAGATCACTGAGATTGTGTGTGTGCCTGAGCTTTCTAAGTGCTCAAGCACTATACAAATACAAGCTAAAGAAGACCTCACTTGAAATTTAGGGGCCATATCTTAAATTTGTCTACATAGTCCAGCTGGGTTTTGATGTTTTCCTTTATCATCATCATTATTACTACTAGTCTAACAACAAAAAATGCAATTGCCTGTTGGCCAAATCTAGGCCGTACTTTATGTGGGAGCCAGTAAGGAAAGAGTCCCCCCAAATACTAGGTCTACTGACAGTTCCTTACACATATTTTAAGCAAGTTAAGTCAGACTTTGAGGACACCCACCAGACAGATGGTTGTATATTCCACCCCAGAACTGACAATCTGGATCTGAAGGCCATTCAGGGCTTCCATTAAATGAAGTGTTAGTTGCTCAGTTGTGTCCAACTTCTTGCGACCCCACGGACTATAGCCTACCAGGCTCTTGTGTCCATGAAGTTCTCCAGGCGAGAATAGTGGAATGGGTTGCCATTTCCCTCTCCAGGGAATCTTCCCGACCCAGCGATCAAACCCAGGTTTCCTGCAATGCAGGTAGATTCTGGTCTGAGTCGCCAGGAAGCTCCATTAACTAAACCAAGACCATATTTTAAGCCCATGTTTCCTCTTTAATCCATTTAAGGGACTAGAGTTAACTCACCTAGATCCTTCCTTAACAACTAACATGAATTATCAAGGCCACTTAGAATTTGCCTTCCATCCACACTTTCCTATGGATTGTGAGGGAAAAGTTTTTTCTTCCAGATCACTTTCCTGTATTAGGGACAGAACTGAAAACATGTCTTTGGGAAGCATGAGAGCTCTGAAATTTCTTGTCGGTGCCTTTGCTTCAAAAGCTGAAGCCTGATGGATTGCTCTGATTGTGCTGGAGGGCTATTCTCTGGCACGCTGTATATTTACCTCCGTACTCCACTAAACAGTCCCCAAAGGCCCTTCCATTGCTGAAGGGAGCAAGGCAGTTGGGAGACATTTTTTAAAAAGTTTTAAAATAAAATAGAAGGATAAATAGGCTTGAAGCCATTCTATTCCACATGGGTGGCAATAACCACCAGCTGTCACAGGGAAACAGCAGATGTAATTGATAAAACAATTGAAAACTCTTGTGGATCCATCATCAATAAAGTTGACACCCAAAAAGTCAATGAAAGGGTTCAAAGTAAAACTGGAGAAGCTCCCCAGGTCCACCAATAATTAAATCACTGAACTACACACAAGCATAATTTATTAATGCAGATTACAGAGGAGGATCAGCTGGGCAACTTGCTTTGCTGGGTGAGGCTGGGGCACCATATGGTGCTTATGAAATTGTCATTAGCTGAGGTGGCAGTGGTGAATCAGGGAGGAGGGGAGCAGGGGGCGAGCAGCAGACAGACCCGCATTATTCTGAAGGAAAAAGCAGGATGTAACATTTATCCATAACAAGGGAAGAATGAAATTTCTACCCAGATGGAGCAGGGAATGGATGGTAATATTATTCATTACCACAGTTTGGCATTAAATGTGCAACACCTCCTCTAATTTATTGATGGACTGTTTAAGACGGGTGTTAACCTGTTTGTCTTGTCTTATAATTGAATTCAGTCTCCAGGCTACAGAAATTTGAGAAGTTCATCCTTTCTCAATCAATATGCTCCCCTTCAGTGACCCATTTCAAGACAGCTTCATAAAAAATAATGTATTTTGTTTTAATAAATTTAAACACTATGACAGCTGCTCAATTTTTATTGGGTGTTTTTTTTTTCCCTTCAGACGTCTCTTTGCTGCCGAGTGAAGCCATGCTCACAATCAATAGTAATTGATTAATCAGCATCCCCTTTGAACAAAGGTGCTAATCAGTTTTTGATTAGTTCATCAAACCAGATGCAAAGGCAGCCCAGCCCCTGCCTGATGGATCATCAGGGTTCTACTTGACTTATGGCTTCTGTGCAATGTGTGACTGCAGTGTTCCTGGATGGGGAGGGGGGAACAACGTAATTATTAATTTAACCGAATTATTATGAACACAAACAGTTGTTGGTTTATTGCTCTCGACTCAGGGGTGATTGATAGAGCTGCGGCAAGGCTGCATCTGACTTGGTGCAGAGCTGAGAGACCCACAGTAGTCTTTAATTGATGATGCTGGTGGAAGGGGTAATGGCTGCTTTAGTCCCATTTTCCTAAGGAGGAGAAAAATGACTTCTGCGTATCTGAGTGATCCTTGTCTGGCTGATATACCAAGAGGGATCAGGGCCAAGGAGAACTCAGTCCCTTCTTAGGATCCTTGAGATGATCCAATTGCCACTGTGTCACAGGGCTGTTTTATTTAGGGTCAGGGTCAGAAATGAGTGGACTACTTACACTCAGCATGATATTCTAAGCAGGGAGAAGGACTCATCTACTCTCACTTCAAAAGAAAAAGATCAGGCTAATGTTTTTGCAACTTCTCTAAATCCATCACAAACTGGAGGCAAAAATAAAACACTGCTTTGATGGCCAGCTATCTTTCTAATCTTCTATTTATTTATCTATCTAAATTCCTTGGGATTTGGAATTCATTTATTCGTCCAACAAGCATCAGCTGAGAGCTTACAACACAACAGGTGTACAGCAGTGAACAAAACCGATATGGCCTCCTGGAGCTTCCACTCTGCGGGAAAATCCAACAGTTCAAGTTCAAACTGGGACACGCTACCTAGCAGAAAAATTAAGGCATCCTTAAGGCTTGACAGAAGGACAGAGGAGGCAATGAATCTATTGACTGTGAAAGACAGTGGTACTATCTCATTCTCTCACTGGGTAAGTAAGACATGTAGTTAAAGCCACACCTCAACAACCAACTATTCAAGGGAGCTGCAGTGAAACCTCTCCAAGAAGGGTAACATGGAACCCCTGTTTCCAAATGGCTGGAGTCAGCATCTACGGTCCTATGCCTTGGTTTCTCCTGATGAGGAAGGGCCCTCCCTTACTGACTTACTAAGAAGCAGCCGATCAAAATGTTCAGGAGCTATAGCTGGTTGGCAGTGAAGTACCAGGACATCATGGGAGATCATATAATTGTTTAGCTCTGACCATTTTAAATCTCCTTCCCCTCCTTTTTAGGATATGCTTCTTCTTCTGGATTAGTAACACCTAAATCCTGGAATCAAGCATGAAACCTACTTTTGCAAGAGCTCAGTGTGCTGTGAAAAAGGTCTGAGGTGGATAATTAGTTTACATCATGGTGTGTGACAAACAATTACCCCCCTCCCTTCCTCTCTTCCCCTCCCTGCCCCCACCTTCTAAGATTAACTATGGCCTGGCTTTTCTAGTATATTCCACAGAAGGGGATGATCAATATGAGTTTTTTTTTTTTTTAAATAAAGATCTTGTCTCATAATCCAACATCCTTAAGAAGCTTTGAAATGCAACAAATTTTTCATGAACCATTATATACTTAGAACATAAAAATTATTTTAAGCCACTGAACAGAGTGGCTTTAGCACAATCCCAAAGATGATTTGACCTCTACTGCTTTACAGAGTCAGCCCCAATCGGAAATATACATGCAATATACAATCAGAGAAATACACAGGGAAGAGAGGTGGGTGGGGAGGAAGAAAGTGTTAATAAAAATCTGTTCTTTCTTTAGTGTCAAACCCACAGTTTTTAATTAACTGCTGAGTGATCCAAATGGCCATGTTGTGGAAGTGGACGGAGGGCCCACAGGTTGGACACTGCAGAGCCTTTTACCTAATGACTAGCCCTTACCTGAGAGGTCCTCACTGTCCAGTTCTTCTGCGGAATTGGGCAACTGAGTAAGGCCTTACAAGTAAAAACAAATCGTTTTTCTTTTCATTCCTCAAGGGACATAAACAAAACACTTAAGAACTGAGGATGAATTTCTTAAAATTAAAAAAAAAAAAAAACATGAGCCAAATCTCTTGCCATCTCTCTCTCTTTTTTGGAGAGCTTAAATGTATTAATCCATAAGTACATTTCTCCAATCATTTCATTTTGTTATGGATACACAATCGAGGCAGAAAGATTCCTCAGTCTCCACTTTCAAAGCACATGAAACATGAAGGTGAATGTTTCAAATCACTCATTCATAACAGCATGCAGAAAGAAAAAAAATAAATAAAGCCTGATTGTTCGATGTCGATGCTCTGATAGAGCTCTTAATACAAATATATTTAGATGTTACATACTGATGTATGTAACTTTTAGTTCACATTTTACTATAAATTGAAATTCCTGGCCAAGACTGACAAACACAGTTCATTATCAGTTGATGATGATCTTGGATCATTTATTTCAAAATGGTGCGGCATCTGCTAACTGCAGATTGCAGGTTATGCTTTCATCAGAAAATCTGATTTGCAAAATATTTTTCAAAAAGAGAATTTCAAAAACCAGTGGTATTCCTGAAGAAAAATGAAACCCTCAAAGCTGAAAAAGCAGTTAGGTCAGGAGATAATCAAGTGGAGCCTGAAATGCCTGTATCCGAGTTAGCGCCAATGTTGGCCAGCTGGGAAGGCTCTCAGCTAGCTGTGTTTGGAGGGGAAAGAGGTGAAGGCGGAAACAGATAAACCATGGGGGGCTTAGCGAGGAGACGGCCTCCCTCTCCTCTTGCTGTATTTGCAGGCTACTCCCTTTAATGAAGTTAAAAGCACCACAAAATCTTAGGCAATCAAGGGGGCCTTTACTTGTTTCTCCCTGTTTAGCTCAAAGTCGTGTCTGGTTTGAGCAGACCTGCTTCAGGTCCCCTCGTCTGCACAATAATTGGCTAATATTTCTCTGATGAGATTTGTCACTTTTGAAGATACCTGTGGACCTGTTAAAGTGGAATGAGGGGCATGATTTTTTTTTTTTTTCCCCATCTTTCTCTTCTCTTATGGTCAAGCACAAAATATACTTAGTAAGTATTTGCTGAATTAATGATTTGGGAGTAATGCTCAGTGAACGGCCAGCAAGAACATAATAGCAACAAAGACAAATGCTCTGGAAATAAGCAATGTCAAACTGATCACACGATTCAAAAGGTCCCAAATCAACAGAAACACTTATATAGAAATGGACAGTAAAAGCTTGGATTTTGTAAGTTGTTTTATAAAGAAACCAAATGAATATTGATAGCTCAGTTGTGTCCAACTCTTTGCGACCCCATGGACTATACAGTCCACGGAATTCTCCAGGCCAGAATACTGGAGTGGGTAGTCGTTCCCTTCTCCAGGGGATCTTCCCAATCCAGGGATCGAACCAGGGTCTACTGCATGCAGGCAGATTCTTTACCAACTGAGCTATCAGGGAAGCCCCTTTATAAAGAAGCCAACTGAATATTGATAGTTAGGTTGGTGCTGTGAAAGAGTCATATGAGCTCTTGAAGAATTTCTATCATGGCCCTTGGGTGCCAATATTCAAGGACATGTGCCAACTAAACATGGGAGGATTCAAAATTTATGGATGTTCCCAAACTATGGATTTAGGCAACCATGGGAAAGCAGTGAATAATGCAATAAATTACAGAGGCAACTGAGTAGGGATGTTATGCACTGGTTCTGAAATCTGATTGGTTGAAAGTGTTCCCATTTCTAACTGGCTTTATTCATTGTATAAAGACTGATGAACACAATTATTTGAATAATTGTTATAAATGGGCAACATAAAGAACTTCTTTGTAGTTAATTATGAATTTGCAGTTCTCAGGAGGCTAATCCCTCACTTTTACGTGACCCAATGAATATCAAAGCATTCTACATACGTGCTTGGCACCCACTGAACCATATTAAACGAGGATGTTTCAAGTAGGCAGCTTTACTGCTGAAGGCTTGTTTCCCTGGGGAGGGCATTAGAAAGCTAATTTTACAAAATAAAGACAAATATGTTTATGAAATATCATTGATATGCAAAGTTTCCCATTAAAAAGTGACAGACAGTTTATACACACCTCATTAAAGATGAAACTGTCATTTTTAATGGCATAAACTTTAAAATATACCAAATCATCTTGAATCTACTGCTCATATTACATCTGAAAGTGGGAAGCCATTTAAGTTAGTGGTGTTAAATGTATTTTTGCACTACTATTGCTCATTTTATGAATCTACAGTGCTCCTCCATAGTTGGCTAATTCCAGAATAAATATAATTAGGAAGAGTGTACTGAAGCACTGAGTGTACAAATAAAGACAAGCAAAATTTACCTCCTAAAACTGCTTTGGCTCAGGTAGTGTTCTTTCATGATAAAAATTATACAGCTCTCATTTTCTCAAAGAAAAAGACAAAGATGCATTTTATGAGGCAGAAAAGAGTCTTCAAAAGGAAACTCCGCCATTTAACAATAAGTGGGAAATTACTTCTGAGTTTTGCTCTTATCACTTGTTGAAGCCTTTCCTCGTCATTTCAATTAAAATGTATTCAACACATTTCTCTAAACTTTGTTAAACAAATGAAAGTTTACTTTTGGTCCATATGGAATTTTCTTTTGAGCAATTAATAAAATCCTGAGGTGCAAACATGATTTAATACACGAGAATCATCTCTTCCACAGACAGGAATCTCACTCTTCGTTATGCTATTATGGGCTGCCTATCCCATGCCTTTCTGCAGACAGTGCTTCTGCTGTTGGGATAGTTACTCCTCCTTGCCAGCAGAAATCACTGGCTTCTAAAAATGGTATGAATGGCATGACAATTTTAAACCAGGTTAAGGAAAACTTCAAAAATTAGAAACAGCAAGAAATCCTAGAGATATTTAAATAAATTCAAGGTCAAGTAAAATCTGAATGTTTGGGGTTGAGTTCTTTAGGGTTTCCCCCTTTTTTCCTGAAACTTCCAAAACAGAATGATCAAATAAAGCCTCTAGGAAACAAAAAACTTCCCAATGTCCCTAGTATTATTCCCATTATGAAAAAGTAGGCGATGGTCTCTCTCTTACCTAAGCAGCACACATCTGATCACTTGGTCATATTATGGAATCTGTTACTTCCATCACCAGCCATTAAGAGTTCAGACGCCCCCAGTTGTTTTATTCTAAAAGCTCAGTCAGTCATCCTGTTCTTCCTGCTTTGTCAGCTTTTCTGGAGAGTTTTTTCCCTTCATCCCATTAGCAGAAATTTGGTTCACGCCGTTAAACAGTAGCATATTGTTTGCAAACTGCATAGCAAGGCTGAAACACAATCTTCAGGTCCTGCAGCCATTCGTAAACCTCTTTGGCTTGGTTCTTGAGTAGAACACAATGTCTGCAGCGTCCCTGGACTGCATGACAGCCTTTGAATGCCATTGTTGTGTACTCAGACAGAGAGGTGTGCAGAGGGGTGCATACACAGATGGCGGATATAGAGGTTGTAATAATGCGCACTGCTGGCTATCGCTCCTTAAAAACGGGCTTCGGAATTTCCCCACAATTGAACAGAAAGATAAGAAATTTCATGTGGTTTTAGACTTCCATCATGGCTTGCACTACTCAGAAAATAAGTCAGGGAAAGAGAGATTTGTGGGGTAGTTACCTAAGGGCAGTGGTCTAGGAGAAGAGCATGGATCTAGCACAGGGCAAACGTTTTGGAGCCAAAACTGAAAATGAAAAATCATGTCAGAGGGGTTCCCGGTGAGAGTCTCGCTACACTTGCAAACTGAATTAAAAACTAGTTACCTCATTTGGGGTTGTAAATCATGAGACCATCAGCCTCTAATGTATTAAGAGGTGGAAAGCAAAAGGACAGGTAGCCTTGGGAAAAAAAAATAAAACAGCAGGGGGGTAGAGAGAGAGAGAGAGAGAGAGAGAGAGAGGGAGAGAGAAAGAGAAAGAGAAAGACAGAGAGAGAACCCCAAACCCAGAGGAAGCCAGCTGACTGCAGTGCAGCAAAAGCACAAGCACTATTCCAGATCACGGGCATGCTGCCACCCAAAACCTCATGAGAGGGAGGTGGGTGGGGGAAGGGAGAGGGAAGACACAGCGCACAAGGACAGGCACACGACACTTACAGAGAGGCGCCCACACTGGGACAGACAGACAAAACCATCACGCGCACCCACACATCAATAACCGCGAGGACGACTGCGCCATCCGTGCTCACATCACTCATGCATTTCTGCCATCAATTTCAGACCATATGGTACCAGGATTTGGCAGAGTGTTTTTTTTTTTTTTTTTTGGCATTGCTCAACATGCACACATGACACAGGATTCTTCCTGTCCAGGCCTTAAGGATGAGCTCCAAAAACGCAAATGCTCAAGATCCTTCTTCAAAGAAGATCCCTTCAGTCACCCTAGTCTAGGAATCCCATTCTTACACTCACATGTATCTTTACTATTAATTAGATCCTTAAAGACACATTGTGGCTGACTGTTGTTTGGTTTCTTTTTGGAGAAAATCCATTTGCTTTTGAATCATGCCCATGCACTTCTAACCTTCCAATACATGCTTATTTCAATCAGATATTGGTAAGAACAAAAGGTGAACATACATCAACAACTGATATACTTCATACGTACTCTAGCAACACAAGCTTGAATAAAACATTTTAATGAGTCTTCAAAGGGAAAGCATTTTGTAAAAAAATTTTTTTTAGAAAGGAGAAATATGGAAGGAAATCCACTATGAAAACCTTAGGACCAGTACAATGGTCACAACTGGCTAACCTAGTATGTCTTGTCATTTAAGTTGCCAAGTTATCAAACCACATTTTTCTAGGCCCAGATCCCCAACATGAACACCTCAAGGTAAGTCTTGAGTGAATCTTAGTCACATGGGTTTACCGATAATCACTTCAATAAAATCAGTTCTATATCCTCATCTCCTTGGAAACCTGGTCCCCTGCTTTGTAACTTCTATCACATTCAATTACCTCTTCTATCCTGGCAACTGACCTGGAAGACTTTTCCCCCTCTGTCAAGTCAAATTCTAGGTATTACTTTGGCTTTCATTTAAGCTTTCTGCTGGGGGCTGGAGAGTATGCTGTTTAAAAGTGGTGGGATCCCTTTGTGAGGATGCTATGAGGGTTTTAGATAAGTTGGGGCATGTATTTATAAATACATTTTATAGGAATTAACCTGGATTATCACTTTTCTCCTCCTGCTGTTAAGGAATCATATATGTATGTATGTATATATATATGTGTGTGTGTGTATACACACACACACACACACACACACACACATTATTCTTATTTGCTTTTTTTCTCCCTGAATTTCTTGGCTCAAGGTATACTTTTCATGCATGCTGGTCAACAGCATCCTACCTGAGACATTGCTGGCTTGAACACTATCCCTGAACTAGTAAGAAAGTGCTTGCTTCTCATGGTCCACAGGCATCTCTGTTTCCTGTCACACGAACGTGAGTTCTATTCCAAGTGTCTCTTTATTATACCCTCAAAAGATATCACCTTCACTTTCTCTTTCTCCATAGAGAAATATATGATCATATGGAGAAAGAAAAAGTGAAGGTGATCTTTTTTTGATCCTATTAGTATCCTAAAATAAGGACTGACCCCAAAGTTAATTTCTCACTTTTCAGGTTAAGGGACATATTTTTTACCTTGATTATCCCACCCAACTCCAAGACCTAAAACTATTAGAGTCACATAAGTACACAAATTTTATTAAAGGGACCTAGAAAACAGAAGTCTGGAGTCTTAGGAGATAAATGATCAATATTTCTTCAAAAGAACTCACAGAATTCAGGAATCTTATGGCTACATTTGACCCTGGAGTTAATTATTGAAAGCTCAGAACTTAAAGCATCCTAAAAAGAATAGAATAAAATCTCTTGAACTACATTAAAATAGCCTTAAAGCTCTGAGAATAATCGATAAAAGTCAGGAAGTGCTCAATTAATGATGAAACCTACAAATAACTGAGCTTAATGGAGTGTGATGCCTAAGATGTAGCAAGTACTATGGAGCATTACCTTGGAAAGTGGAAGTTTTATACCTAATTGATTTCTCATGATTGTTGGTATATCTGGCCCTTCAACTAATTTTATGAACTTTTCCTTTATGCCAATAACAGAAAAGGGTGGGGGGAGGTGGATTAGGGCCTGAAGGGGTATTACCTCATACCCACCTTTGTTCTGCTTTCTTAGAATTTCTCATCAGAAGGTCCAGGTATGGAGGTGGTCTGCCAAGTATCAAGGCCTGACCTTCACGGTCAGCTTACACAGGTTTTGCCAGAGATTTCTAACTGGTAAGGCCTAAATGTAGGTCTATTTAAGAAGGTCAGTCATGCTAGGAAGAGCTGTTTCTCTAAAAGTTGAATGAACAACATAGGCTTGGCTGATCACCTTTTGTCATTTAAATGATGGATTTCAACTCTGCCACAGTGTGCAAAGTGATTTAAGTAGGCCCTTTACCAAATAATTCCCTTGGATTCAGTTATTAAAATTCAGCCTACTTTTAACTGACATATCTTTCTCCAAAGCACAATATCAGCAGGGTGAGATTTGAGCTAAGTAATAAAGTAATATACAGATGAAACATGATTCTCATTTTCTAATGGGAGAGACCTAGAAAAGTGAACAGACCTCTTCCAACCTAGGAAGTCAGAGGAGAAACTGGGCAAAGGATTCCCTGATACCCACTCCTGAGCTTCACTTACTTGATTTTTATCCACTTTTGGCTGAAATCATAATGAGTTAGTTCTTTTAGTATTTAGTCTACAAGATATCCCCGCCCCTGGCCCACCCTGCCACAAATGATCTATTTCAAGTCTCAGTTAATGTTGTTTAAATGTATGTATGGTATCCTTCTTAGTCTGGAGATGTTTTCTGCCACATGTTAGCATAAACTTATATGCACATATGGAGATTGAGCGCAAGTGGTCATGGAGGTAAATACTATTGGGAGTATAATTAAAGAACAAACTTCTTCCTCATTCCTACGTCATGCATTGAAACAAGAATCTTTCACCCTGATCTGTCCTACAAATGACTCCTCTTCTAGATGTACCTAGGACTCTAGCCTATAAATGAAGAAAGCAACTGGGCCTTTAATTCAGATGCTATGCTTTTAAGGCAAATATTAGTTCTTTTATTGGAGTCCCTTATGTTTCAGGGTCTGGTGGCATTATAGAAATAAGGGCTACATACAGCTAAAACTTCCTCTAACCCAGGTAGCCGGCGCAGAGGCGGCCTCACCCCAGACTGCAACCATTGGCCACTGAACTTACAACAGAAATGACAAGACTTGACATCCTTTCAAGCCTCACAAATTAGAGTACATTTATGAGATCAGTCTACTTGGAACACAGTTTCCCTTGAAGACTACATTTCTCTTTTTCCCAGGCTTGCCTTGCCGCTCAGCAGTGCTGAGAAAGTAGATAAACAGTAATGTGGTACCAACCGTGAACTGCTGGTTCTGTCGTCGCCGTGGTGTCTACAGACGGGAACAGAGGATTGGAGGAAGGGAAGAAACAGGAGGAACGGCATGCAAAAAAAGGGAAAATGGAAAAAAATGGAACAGATAATATATGAGCAAGCTTTCAAAGAACATCGCGTGACAAGCAATAATAAATGAAAAGCCAAAAGCATTTGAAGTGAGTTGCACTGTTTTAAGACATGCCTTCAGCTCAAAGCTGCGAGCCAGTGAGGATAACAGTAAATTCTTTGGTTTTGGGGACTTGCCAGGACACATCTATTTGCTAGTCAAGAGTCAGGGGAACATGCAAAGTGATGAGAAACACCAGTGCAAACTCAGTGACTGGTGCATGGCTCTGAACGCATCAAGGCTCAGGACTGCGACACAAAAGCTCAGTCGAGAGGCTGGCTGAACAACAGATTCATACATTCAAACATTGCCTTTGTTTTAACCCAACCCACCCGGGCACTTGGGCTTTACGACTCCCAACCAGGCATCACTGAGTCAACTGCATGTTTAGGATCCTTTTACGGCTCATAGGCAGATGCCTGCAGATGAATACAGGGGTTCAAGTTTTTCATCCAGTGTGTTATTTCAGCAGAGTTCAGCTGGAAAGTTCAGTTAACTTGGAGGCCATAGGGATGAACATGTTAAAGGTTTTCGGACTGGTCTTTATACACACACACACACACACACACACACACACACACTCACCACTCACCCATCCTTCACTCTGCAGATCTTACTATCTTACACTCTTAAGAGCAGAAGTCTGGCATGGAAACCAGGTCCACATAATTTGTGAAACGCCACTTCTCATCATGTGACATTCCAAAGTTAAGGCATCCAGTCATCCCTTAGCTCATGATCCAGAACCACTTTCACTGTTGTGAGATGCCAGGAGTCCTGCCTCCAGGGTGAATTAGGAGATGGCACATGATGCTTTTTCACTGCCAGATGCACTTGCTGTGGAAGAAACCGTGGTTTGTCTTTCTTCTTCTATTTCTAATGCGGTTCAAGTTTTCTCCTTCAAAACCTTTCAGGCTTCAAAATCACGCCTGCTGTATTGGCTCCTCTTCATGGAAGATTCCCCAAGGGGCTCCAGAAATTTCCTCTTTCATTTTGGCTACAGGGGAAGTGGGATAAATATCTAACAAAATGCATGGTGACATTCTTTTTCCAAAGTCATTTTAATACCACTCTTCTAGCCAACTTCATTCCAATGTCAACCCGCCTGGCCTGGTTTTAATGCTCACCACTCTCTCAAGTTGTCTGCCTCCATGGTCCCCTTCTGGCCGAGAGCAGTGGTGACACCCACAGACGAGCTGGTCATGTCGAGGGGAAGTGGGATTTTGGGTTAACACTGCGAGTAGTTTTCTGTACTTTTTTTTTTTTTTTAAAATCATGCAGCTGGTAATTATTTTCACGAGTTTAAGAGACTCCAAAAGACTCTTTCGGACTTGACACAGGCAATGTTTAAATGCACCATAATGCCAAATGTGACTTTGTTTTTGGTCCAAGGAGCCTGGTGCTTCTGATTTATAAAAATGACACATGAATTCACACCGGTGTTCCCCTTCATTGGCATGCCCGCCTCAGAATCCTAGACCATCAAAAAATTAGAGCCCTTCTAAGGAGCCAGAATTAACTACAAGTCTGAGAGGCCATTGCAGCTTAATATAACTCATAGCTGAGTTTCTGAAGAACAAATGAAGGAAAGAAAAACATAAACCACATCAGAATGCAATACTTACTTACAAGTCTGTATGCATAAAATAGCAGTTAAAAAACAATACCAAAAATTGTACAGTTGAAACATCTCTACACCAGATGCTCACAACACATCTCCTTACTCGAAACATCCAAATCAATGTTAGTTTGCGGTGTTTTCAAATGGAGGGGCAAAATCAAATGCACATTTGTATAGAAACACTTAAATGCAAGTTTATACATTTTATGGCTAGACACTGGCTCTTTTCCAAAATTAAAAAAAAGCAATAAACATTTTGGTTCATTATTTTTGTAGCAGCATTCTAATATGCTTTATTTTTACCAGTTAAATCATTAATATAAAATGAAAGAAAGGGATTGGGGTAAAACCTAAGGGTCCTCAAAAATGATGTCTTAGCATTAACAGATGACTTGTAGGAAGACAAGGTACTGTCTTCCTACATCACAACATCAGGTTGGCTTTATGACAAAATCAAACGAACAGAAGCTGGGTGTGTACTACCCTGTGGGTACTAGAGGATAAACAAAAGAAGTTCATGGTGCAGCTTGCCTCCCTGTTCTGGGGATGCGAAATCCATCAATTGCACCCAACAGGGAAGAGAAAGGGAAGTTGAGAAGGAAAACACATGGTTCTAAAACAGTTAAAAGCAAACACATGTTCAAGTAAACAGCACAGTTACTGCAGCTGGGAGTGGCAGAAACCAGGGATCAGCCATGGAGCAGAGACTGCAGTGGACACACAGGCTGGCTACAAAGTTGAGACCAAGATGGAGGGCATACTGGGGGAGTTGCTGATTCCATTTCTCTAAGAGCATCTGGTGCCGTATCTGAACAGAGGCTATTTCAAGTAAAGAATGGGAAAAAAAACCCCACAAAACCCTTTAGAAGTGACTTTGTGCTCCCCGCAGGAGAGCACTGTGACAGAATCTAATTCTCCTTCATAATTGCATTACGACTTCACGCAGAAACCACAGACACCCTGGCTCTGAAGTGAGTGTGGCTCTGTGAAGTAGGATTTATTAAGGTATCGTAATCAGAAGGCTGGAGAGATGTGCTAGCCCACCCCTGTGAATCAACTTGTGGGGTCACTGTTTTGTTTTACAACATTTTAAGTGTATAGGCAAGACGCAAACAGTAACTTTCCAATAGAAGGTAACATAGGCTGTAATTAACTTGAAAAATGAGAGTGCCTAATTGCCCTAACGGAGACTTTCTTCAAACTTCATTCTGTGGCTGTCTTTAAAAAATAATCTTTGCACTAAGCCTAGGAGAAAAATAGGTCACAGAAAGTTGAGGTAGACTTAACGGTGGTATAGGGCTATGAAATTAAAAAGGCCTTGTTGAGCTATTGTCTCTTTTAATTTTAATTACAATGAGGGAGAAATTTATCGTACATTTATTTTATATGGTCAAGAAAAAACAATCCCACATTCTTGCAAAGCCAGTAAGTGTGCATGGTCTTAATAGTCACTCTCTAGCTGTTTTATGAGTGTAATTAAACAAGGTAACCAAGGGCAGGGCCTGCACTGCAGTTTGAAAGATGAACATTTCGCTAAATATCGACTTTCAGTCTCCCAGCCATACAAACAGTTTATGGAACTCTACCATGAATAAATCAAACATCACCTATATTTCACATGGCAGTATATTTTCAAAATCAAAAGGTTCGGACGATATGTCAGATTAGAGACACTACCTGTTTAACCAAGAAGCAAAAAAAAAAAAAAAAAAAAAAATCCCCAAAACAAAATCCACCAAAAAATGTGTGTGAGGCAGCTGGACACTATTTAGTTGAAACAGTCATGTGTAAGCTCCACTGTGGCACATTCTAATCCTTTCATATGGATTCTCTCCAACTTAGAATTGTTCATTGAGTGTGACAGACTGGGGGTTTAAAACTAATCCATAAATTAGTCCGTGGTCTCAAACACAACGGGTGCCATAAATGAAAATGAAAATCCAAGAACAAAATTAAATTTACAACCTTAAATACTTTTTCTTCTCCAATTGCTCTGTGGTGCTCCTGCTTTACAATACCCAGACTCACTGCAAGGCTGCCTTTTTTGGGGTGGGTGGGGAGGGGTGGGAGTAGGGTATACATTAAAAAACGCACAGGGTAATAACCCAGAGAACCCAATCTGCTCGAAAGCAGAGCTTAATTGTAAAGAATTTAAATTCTGCCATTTTGATTGTCACAAGCTTAAATGAAAGCATACTAAGCAGTCCAGACATATTTTAATACACTTTCCCCTGGTTTATTTTCTTAACTAAAGTCAATGAGGAGCCAGTGGGTTTTCTTAATTGAATTCCCCTTCAGTTTGTGTTATGGAACTGCTTTAAATCTAGATGCCAGGGCAGGCGAGGAATCCCCCTGACAATTTTATTCTCACAGTTGTGCCACACTAGCCAATATATAGTTTTTTTCTTGTCTTTTCTTTCTTTTTGACATACTTGAAATCTATTGAAGGCAAACATACGTGCTGAAAAATTAAACTTTGAAATTTATTTTCTACCCATTTCCCAGTTAATCTTCTTTCCATCTATGTTAGGTTTTAATTAAACTCCCATTTCTCAGGGATGGGCGAAGCACATAGGAATGAAGCTAACAGGCCCGAGTAGGAAACTCGAGAAACTGCCTTTCGTCTTCATGTCACCTCTCCTCTGCAGGAAGAAACTATGCACCAAGGAACTGCAAGAGGGGGACTAGGTTTGGTTTTTCCTTTTGGTTAATTTCAAGTTTTGTTAAAAGCTTCGTCAGAATTGTTCACGAGTGCTGCTATGCCCCTGAGATCTTTGCATCGGCAAACCAGATGTGAAGAAACTAATAGGAATCTGTGCTGTGGTTTCATTTAACAAAGAGAACAATTCCTCTCCCACGTTGTGTGTCAGTGCTGGGTGGGAAGAGTGGCAGAGAGGGGGGAGGCACAGTGATGGGAGATGAGAGGGACATAGGCTGATGGTGGAGAGTGGGGAGCAGCTCTAAAAGTAGTAGTTGATACTCATCCCCAGGCAGATCCTCCAAGAGCTGGGTCCTTCCTGCCAAGTCCTACGTTTTCCAACACTGAGATAGCTCCAGCTTTCTAACCCTAAGAAACCTGTATTTAAAATGAGACGGGTTTTTTTTGCACTGTTGTGCATCAGTCTTCAGTATGAAAACATGTCAATTCCTTCTCTCTTGGATTCTTTCTCAACAAGGAACATAAGAGTATGGATGATGACAAAAACGATGATTAGAAGCATTAGAAAAATTCTCACTTCCTATTCCTCATCCCCCCCCCTTTTTTTTA